TTATACGAATGGCAATCAGGTTATATTACAAACGTTCATATAATATTATGTTATGTACAGAGAATTTTGTCTCTCTCTCTCTCTGTCTATAATTAATTTTACTTCTCCTTCAATACCTGTCAGCCTTACTGAAAAATTTTCGTAGAGATAACAATAGAATTCCCAATTCAATTCTCAGTTGAATTCTCAATTGAATTCTGAAATGCCGTTAATAAATAATGATTTTTCACTGAATTTTTCTACATTTTTAATAAAATATTATTGAAATATTAATGAAATTATAATGAAATTTTTATGAAATTGGGTCAAAATTGTGAATGCTTTTCAAAAGCATTTCAGCAAAAGTTCATTATATTTTCAATAAATTATTTCCATCAGATATAAATTTATCTCAATTGAGATCTTTGCATGCAATTTTTGCGCAAACGGCATTTCAGAATTTAATTGAGAATTCAACTGAGAATTGAATTGGGAATTCTATTGTTATCTCTACGAAAATTTTTCAGTAGGGAGCCTTTCATAATGTATATGGAGGTCCATTCTTAAATCATTTGTAAAACAATTAAACAATTAAACAATTAAACAATTCGTTTACATAACTTGCTTATATGCAATGAATGTATTTTTTTTCGTTAAAGCATGCATATGGAATATCATTCGTTGATTACATGTATAATTAGTTTAAATTATTCAAATATCGAGCTCCTGGATCATTTTATCGCGGACTCAATGAATTCTGTGAATTATGTGGATGAATTCATAATAATAACCTGTGTATCGTACATATGATCGATTAATGTTTTAACTGTCATATGTTATATTATTTATTGATAATATACTGGCTACTTGACGAAGATCACTAAGGAATGCTCTGGTACTCTATTCTTTTTTTACGCATAATGAGAGATATTGTTACGAAAAGTGTTAATATAGCATGCTTCTCGAATCTAACCGTCACGGCTGTGAAACAATGCAATATCTGATGATCGCGTGCTGCTGGACAGTTACGCATCAGTACCTTGTTGATCATTACACAGACAACATCGTACTGTAACACGCGAGCTTTAAAGATTGTTCGTATTAAAAATATTTAATTAGAGGATATAGAGGAGATTTAGAGGATATAGTAGGCGATGTTGATAACATTCTGGATTTATAAAACCGGATTGAAAAAGTTGTGCAAGACGTACGTTGTTATATTACAAGTACAGGATATTAGAAAGAAACATGCGAAGAATGGGGTACACGGAGAAGTGTAATTGCAAGTCCCTTTGCAGCAAAAGATTATGCAAAAAAGGAGGCTGGTACTTTGAAAAGGTTGGTACTTTCATTATTTCTGTAATAGTATTCTAATTATAAATGCATCGTGTTCTGACAAAGTAAATGTATTCCGTTTTTGCCAAATAATATACCGAAAAATTTATAGCATTTTTTTTATATTTTGTACATGTATACTATATTTTATAATGACTGTGCTTACAATGTGCATTCTTGTTATGAATGCAAATGGATACATTTCTCATTTGATGACACTTAATTATTATAACATAATATAAAAGTATATTTCAAAATAATCCTTCGAAAATATAAGTTTATGATATACTCTTTCAGCAGATGCTATATAGCACGATAGAAATGCAATACATCGTTGCGGTCGTCCAATATTTAAAAAACATGCAACTATGCGATGGTTCATGTTTTGTTTTTTGCAAAGTAAATATCATATACTTTCATAATGTCGAGTACAGCATCGAATGTAACGGTACTTTCGTACATATGAAGTAATAAATGAAGAATGCTCCTTGTAAAGAACAAATCGTTTTGCGATAGTACAAGTGCTACCCCACAATGAAAGATGTACATTGCTTTGTCAGAAACTGTACAGTGCGTTTATTTACACATGTTAATACAGTACGCATATGATATTGATTACATGTTATTCACAATAAAAATAGATAGTAAGGAAGTACAATTACAAATAAAAGTATCTATAGGAAGAGTATGCCATTAAAATGAATTCAAGGAAATATCAGGAAGACAAATAATAGAAAAAATAGCTGAAATGCATGTTCCATGATTATAAGGCGCGATGCAAGTGGCGTAACTTTTGCTATGCGTGGCCGTTTGCAAGGTCATTTCAAATTAAACTTTGTATTTTTAAATAGAAAACTATAATTGTTATAACGGAATTTTGTTGTATATCAAAAAAGAAATAATCTTTGTCGAAAAATTTTTTTGTACGACCTCTTTCAACAGATCTTTTAAAAAATAATTACAAATTATTTGTTACTCAAGAATGTTGTACTCAAAATATATTAACTTGTAAGAAAAGTAAGTAAGAAAAGTAGTAACAGACAAAAATTGTTTATTTTTTTTGTGGAACTGTCATAGTTTTTGGTAGGATTTTTTATGAACATTATTGTAGTTCATTTATTTATGTTGGTACATGCAGTAGTAAAATGTCGATTGAAAATTTTGAAAAATGTTATGGAATAAAACGCAGCTTCATTTTTGTAATACATTACTTCCTGGAAATTTCCTTGTGTTCATTTTAATAGTATATCCTGCATACTAATAAGTATTTCAACATTATTTTAAAAATAATGTCAAATAAAATATGATTTCCCATGTATATACATTTTTAACACGTTATGATGTATCCCAACATATCAAAGAAACATCAAATAAAGAAATAATATTTGTAAAAATAATATAATTTTCTAGTGCTCGCACAGAAAAAAAGATTATTTAACAAAAAGATGTGGCTATATAAAATGTAAGTACCATTGACACGTTATAAAAAGAAGAAAATTTCATCATACACATTTCATTTCAAATGTGTTTATAATAGCACAAATATATATTGTATGCACCAAACAATTTTTTTAAAGCTATTGTTTCATACATCCTGAGGAAAGAACGCAAAAAACATAATGAAATGGAATGACGTTTGTAATATTATGAATGCGTTATTTATACATTACTTGACATTAGCAATACGCCATCGTGTTTATTGACAGATATATCTCTCATGAAAGGAAACATTTTCTTTCATGTCATTAAAATACGACAAGAAATACTTTAGATATGCGAAAATCGTACCTGTATCTGACATACATGTTATATGTTATATGATGTATAGAATTAATATAAATGTTTCTTAAAGTA